TCCCACAAGAACAATACTTCCATGTTCTCAAATTGAACATTTGTGGTGACTATACAGAACTTAATCACCAAAAATAATGAGTATATTTTGTAGTTATTTATTTCCAATCAGTCAATGATAGTTTCAACATATATAAATACATTAATTAATAAGGTAATAAATTAAATAATTTTGAGTAAATACCACAAATATTTAAAAACATTCGTATTTTCAAAGTTTTACTACACTGACATAATGTACATAGCTTTATAAATGCATTTCTCCTATTTATATTATAAAAACATACAAGGACCTGGAAAATGCAAAAAAAAAATAAGGTTAATCAGAATATGTGGACAAAAATTCAAGTTTAATGTTGTAACTCTACCTAGATCAACATAGGATACCTGGCAAAATACTATTCAGCATTCAGTAAAGAGTTGGAGGTGCCAACAGGGACAAGAGAAACTATTTAGTTTCCTGTGATGGTCTACTGTTTTTAGTGCCACAGGTAATTTTTTAAAAATGAAGCTTCCAGCACTTAATAAATAAGCAAATAATAAAAATTATTATATATATGTAGATATATAAGAAAAATTGGGGCTGGTATTATGGCTTAGTGGTACAGTGCTCCCCTAGCATGTGCAAGGCCCTGGGTTTGATCCTCAGCACCACATAAAAATAAATAAATAAAGTTTAAAAAGTGATGCCATGAACTATTAAATCTCTAAGTTGTTTTTGTGAGGTATTTTGCTCATAGTGATGAAAATCTGACTAAAAAAAATAGTAGGATTTATGTACTGGAATTTTATTACAGGAGACATTTTATCATGAAATTGACATGTTCAAGAGATATGTTATGAGAATATTGTTAGAATTAATGTTTAAAGGAAAACCTTTAAGCATAGAAAAATGTAGCTTATACATGCACATGCGTGCACACACATGCACACGTGTACATTTAATTATATCATAACAAAATAATATTTTAAATACTACAGTTCTCAGTGGATTTTTACTTCAGTGTTCTATAATTCAATATGCACACAATTAAAAAGATAATGAACTGAATGATAAAAACATCCATGTTCACAAATACAAATAAATGGACAAAATTGGAAGTCAGATCTTGCTTAAGGTCATATAGAAAGTTACAGGCAAATCCTATCTTTATAAGGATAACTCAATTTTCTTGATTCTAAATACATTTTCTTCACTAAAACCAAATTAGCAATCAATCTGAAACTTATGCTATAGAGAGACTACTGAAACTTATACATCTATGAACATTTGGAAATAAAGAGAAATTGGTATTTGGAAAGTTTCTCTGGTGAATATATATTACCATGTCAATTTAAATATAATTATTCTGACATAAAATAAATTTCAATGAATATTACGTATGTTTTCAAGTTGTTTTTATTTTTACCACTTTGTCAATATTTCTCACCATGGGTTTTTAAATTTTAAATATTTAAAAAAATATTATTATAATTATGCTTTCCATATTAAAAGAATTTTTTTCTTTTTAATTTTTTAAAAGGGGGAAATAAATACCCCAAATTGTCATGCTAAATTAGTAGTACAATATCTGGTAGGGGATATCTTAATAATTTTCCCATAGTCTAATAACCCATTTATTATAATAAGGAATCTTATGCAGGAAAACTGATATTCCAAGAGCAGATAAAATTAAATCCAATTTCTCTTCCCTGAAGATGAATAAAATAAAAGTTATTAGTGATTTTTGAACTAATTCTCCTCTACTCTCTCTCATTTCTAAGTTATATGCTGGTAATACTAAAAAATCATATGTGATACAAGTAAGTCTTTTACAAGATTCATGGTCTTTGCTAGTGCTCCTTTCAACTTTAAGACTGTTTCAAATATGGTTCATATCAACTGAAATGATCAGGGATTGTTGATGGAAATAATCAATTGCAGATGGTTTGATAAAAATATCATGACACACAATCATTATGGAATAAACTTGGTTAATAAGAAGTGAACATGAGGTCTGTGTTAAGTATCCCTACATAGCTGAATATATTATAAGTACCTCCATGGCTTGCTTCAACACTGAAGTCCAAGATTGGGTCTGGATAGAGAAGTAATTATATTATTTAATATGAGGGAATATCACATCACCCTAATGGGAAATAATAACTTCATCAGAGATCAGGAAGTAATTTAGCTGCCTATTGTTTCATGTACTTTCCAATTTATATTACAATAATTAATGAATATATTTTCATAGAAAGTTCTTCAGAGTAGGATCTTTATCTTATTTACCTTAACATTGATCAGAGAATATCACATAGTGAATAAAAATTTTTAGTAGACCAAAAGAGCAGTACGCCAAAAATACAGTGGATTTAACTCAACTAAATTTTGTTAAACTCAATAAATATTGTTTTTGAAATTGTAACTTTTTTTAGACAAATACAAAATATAATTTCAGATAATGAGGTCTGCCAGTTGATTTAAAATATATTAATTTTACACAATGAACCAGAGTTTGATCACAAATAGAGCATTAGTACCACATATACATAAATAAAATAAAGATCTGTCAATAATAAAAAAAAAAAATTAAAGACATTGTGAGGAAATGATCTATGTGACTGTGGGGACAAAATTTATGAGCTAGGACAATGAGAAGGGGAGGGTCAACACTCAGGCATCAGTACAAGTTACTAATCTCAGGTGGATTTGCTTGATCTCCATGGGGACCTCAGTTTTGGTACCCAGACCTCTAAATAAATTAAATCAGGCATACTCAGATTACTTGAGATAATCACCCTGTAAGTCAGCAGATGATAAACTTTAATCATATTAGTAAAATAACCTCACATCAAAACATAGAGGCTACACCCTAGCCAACTTGACCCCTAACAATGATCAGAACAGGGATTGTTGATAGAAATAATCAATTGCAGATGGTTTGATAAAAATGTCATATAACAGAATGTGGCCTTATCTCAGTGACAGAGCCTTTGCCTAGCATGTGTGAGGCATTCGGTTTGATCCTCAGCACCACATAAAAATAAATAAATAAAATAAAGGCATTCTCTCCATCTACAACTACTATAGTAGTTGTATACACACACGCGCGCGCGCGCACACACACACACACACACACACACACATATATATATATATATATATATATATATATATATATACAGTATTATATAAGAACACATCAATCAGGAAATATTAATTGACTTTTTGATTGGTGTAACTGATCATATTGCCAAATTGCACCAATATGATCTTTAAATATCCCTTCCATTTAAGATATTATCCAGTGTTTGCTACATTCCAGGCTAAGAAGGGTAAATTATTTTATGCTGTTAAGACTCCTGATACCAAATTCTAATTGAAGGGTCCACTGGGCCATAATCATATTAGAGCAACCACCTATAAATGCACAAATCTACACAGACTCTCAATTCCCATAATTTTGTAGAATGATTCCCCATGTTCAGAAAACTGCTATAATTCTATCACAGCAAAATTTAAAATAAGAAACACCAAAGAAAGAGAGGCATAGTTTAAAGAGTAGGAATATACTAAATATTGTCCTGAAGAATGCTTTACTTACTTCGTCTCTATGTGGCAACCCTCAAAATATTGAAAACTAAGGATGATGACCCATGCATCAGGGGCTAGGGTTGTCTTGTTTCACTAATTAGTCATGGTGGGATGAACTTCACATAATTGAACTCAACTTCCACCCATCTCCCCTTCCTAGAGTTCAGAATGCACAACCTACCCACTATGTGGTTGGTCTTATTGTTGTGAGTGCCCATTCCTTCTTCCTCAGCCAGAACTGAACCTCCATAGAAGAAAAACCATGATGGCAGGAAGTGTGATGCCACTGGTTACCCATTACCTTGACAGGTCCTGCTTCCTCAAATGTTGAAGTCCCAACACCAGAGAAAAACACTGAGGCTAGTGTAGAGTAGAAAGTAAGGAGCTTTATTTATAGCATAGTAGGGCAGATTTCTTTCCACCCAGAGGAATTAGGGACCCAAAAGGCAGAATCTTTGGGATGAGGAAATCCTATTTCTTTTATACATCTAAAGTTTTCTTTATTATTTTACATTCTTCCCCTATATCTTGTTGACTTCCCTTTATTCCATATAGCTGACTGAGAGATGCCTGTGGGAAACCCAGAAACTGGTAAATAGGTGGGTTGGAGGGATGGGAGAGGGGTGATCTTGGCTGGCATGGGGTGGGGAAGCCCAGGGTGAATTAATCAGCAGTCCCTGTCTGCTCAGGGGTTGCTTTATTAACAGTTCTTGAGGAAGGGCAGTATTGGCCAGGCTTTGGGGCAATTAACATTTCAATCTCCCAAAGCGAGTCTTCAAACAGGTTTGGTCTGTTTTTCTCAACTTGGTCCGATTTATCTACACTGACTACCTATTTTTTTTAATTCTGGCTTCAGTTGGAGGAACAGCTCGGACATGATAGTGCATATGCTTAGGGCTTAGCTGGCGAGATGTCCTGGAATCCCAGGGACACATAGCAAAGAGACAAACAAAGGAAGCACCAACAGCAAGAAAGATGAACTACATTTGATGCCTTCCATCCTTCCCTTTATTAGGCTCTCTATACCTCAGATTTTGAATTCAGATTTTTCATGGTTGAAGAAGGAAAAGAAAGTTGCAGTGGCACACCCCTGTCTCTGGAGGCAGGATCACTTGGTCCCAGGGAATTAGAAGCCTGGAGCAGGGTCAGCCAACAAGAGCCAGGTGACCTTGGGTTCTCCCTGCAACGGAGTGGGGTTCTCTGGTGCCTGGGCCCTTTAAGAAACGATTGAGGGAAAGGGGGGAAAGAAGAACCATCTGCAGCAGGGACGACCTGGCAGGATGAGAGCAGCCACAGAGATTGGAAAATGGGTGGGGGTCCTTTAAGGGATCGGTCCGGGGTGGGAGGGTGGCAATGGTCATTGAAGTGGGCGGAGCATCTGTTGGACCCACCTCCCTGGGGTCCCCAGACCTCAGGGCTCCAGGATGCGGTCCCAGCATTGCAGGGGGCATGACTTGACGAAAGTGGACGTAGCAAGGGTAAATGGTGGGACGGGTGCACCTCCTAGGGCTCAGGCTCCCCCGGGCAGCGACCAGAGGTGGCGGTGGTGGTGGCGGCAGCGTCTCCCACAGCACAAGCAGCTGGATTGGGGCACCCAGTTGTGGGTGAGTGCGGTAGACCCGGCTGAAGTTCTGGGTCTACCCAGACCTTGCTGGAGTGCAGACTTCCCCCTTTGTCCCCACTGTACCTTAATGGGGCCTCGGCACTTGGCCTTCCACTGACCCCTGGGTCCCCACCCTCTTGCCCTCTGCCCTCTCAGAGTTTCACAGCGAGTCTCAGGGCACCCCGAGGCTAAGGGAGAGCTTGCAGGCTAAGGGAAACTGAGGCACGGGTGGGTTGAGTTCTAGGACCAGGCTGGGGCACCCGCCGAGGTCACCTACTTTGAGTGCCCTGCTCAGGCCAGGAGCTCATCTTATGGCCCCTGGGTCCCTGCCCGCCGTGAGCAAGTCCCATCAGGAGAGGGAGGGGACCCTCTAGTCATCCTCCGCCCCACGTGGGACCCTCAAATCTGAGCGCTTTTCAGTCTGTAATCCACAGGTAGGAGCTAGGGAGGCTTCTGGAACAGGAGAGGGCTGAGAGGCTTGGCCCCAGACCCCTCCCGGCCCTTCTCCAATACACCACCCGAGGGCGGGCCGCTCCTTGGCGCCTCTTACCCCACCAAGGAAGCCTCAGCTGCACCTCGGAACCCTCCCCTTTCTGGGGGCGGTGGAATTCCTAGGTTCCTGGGTGCAGCAGGGTAGCTAGATCTCCACCTCCTCTCCCACTGTGGGATTTCTTTTGGAGGTGTAGTGGGGTTAATGGGGAAGCTAAGTCTCTCTTTGGAGGACTCCGAATCAGGGAACTTGGTGCCTGACCCCCGGCTCTGAGGAGGTTTCCCCCTCCAGTAGCTGCTGCCAACCCTGCCCTTCTGGCCTTGACTCTGGCCAGACTGGCTGTACTTTCCAGAAGCTGGAGGATTAGGGGACATTTGTATGAGGGAGGTGCCTTGCTGCATTTAACACCCCTACAGCCTTTCGGGAGACCAAGACCCTGTTTTCCTGCGTCATCAATTCCTAAATGATACAGTGCAATGACTATGCCCAAGACATCAACATTGGATTAGGTAATATAAATCACCTAATGATACTGTAAGGTCTCTGGGAAGATGGGCATAGGTTCTTTGCAAATATTGCATCATTTTGTTGAATGGACTTGAGCAGCTTTGGAATTTGGGGTCCGTTTATGTGGGGAAGAGGTGTAAGGATCCTATAAATGATAATCCATGGACTGTACTACTGCTTCTCACTGTAGATATGATTATGATGTTTGATTACAGAATGTGGCCACCAGCCCCACTAGGGGCACATAAAAGTTGTGTAAGAATTATACCCCTTTACCAAAGTCCCCAAATCTGAGTTCTTTTTTTTTTTTTTTTTAGAGAATTTTTTAATATTTATTTATTTAGTTAGTTAGTTTTCGGTGGACACAACATCTTTGTTTGTATGTGGTGCTGAGGATTGAACCCGGGCCGCACGCATGCCAGGCGAGCGCGCTACCACTTGAGCCACATCCCCAGCCCTCCAAATCTGAGTTCTAAATCACTTCTGAATCAAGGGTTGGAGATAAGGGATATGGATCATAACTTATAACTGTTTGGGGGATAAATGTTTGGAGTGTATCCCTTCTCATCTGTAAACAGGTCCTAGGGCATCCTGCTCCTGGAGAATCTTAATCCCAGCCTCCTGACCCCAGTCCCAGGTTTAGCCAGAAGCAGTCCTTTGTACAGATTCTCCAGGAGGTGAATGACGTTGCAGGCCAGCAAGAACTGGTGGCTGAGAACCTCAGCACGCTTGTGTGTCCTGAGCTGCTCAAGTACTCACAGGAGTTGAAGCAGGAGAGGAAGATGGTGCGGTGCCCATTCCCTGGGACTTGCCGAAGGCACCTGCCAGAACCCTTGTGAGCCTTCTCACCCTCCTTTCCATAGCACTTCCAGGAAGGATGGCGGGCTCATCAGCAGCTGGAAAGTGGCTTCAAACAGCTTGAAAATGTGAGTTCCACAGGTTGTGGGTGGCTCTGGCCTATGAGCAGGGTGAGGGTGGCCCATCCATAAAGTTGCCCCCTCTTTCTGGCCAGCACGCCCCTCTCCCAAGTGCTTCCAGCATACCTGCGGACCCCTATCTGCTGGATGACTTCCCACCAGTCCCTAAAGTCCTTGGTTTCCCACCTCCCCTAATGGGGATAGAGGCCCTTTCCTTCTGCTTCTGTCTCTTCCACAGAGTAAACATAAATTTGAGCAAGATTGCCAGGAGGCAGAGAAAGCAGCCCAGACCGCTGAGTGGCTAGACCAGGATATCAGTGCCACCAAGGCCGATGTGGAGAAGGTGCATGTGGGATCTGTGACAGGCTTGAGGGGTCAGAGTGGGACATAGCCAGAATCTGGCAGTTACCTCTGCCTTGCATTCCTCAGGCCAAGCAGCAAGCCCACCTTTGGAGTTATGTGGCAGAAGGAAGCAAGAATGAATATGCGGCCCAGCTACAGACCAGGCCCACTTCTGTGTTTCACAGATGCCCAAGATATTTGATGTGAGTGCTCTAAGCTCCCAGGCCCAACTCTCACACATATGTCAAAACGCCAGCTGCCATGTCCCCATTCCTAAATTGGAATAGAATTGGAAACCTGAAGTAACAGTGAGTTGTGCATTGACTCAAGCTTTCTTCCAGGGATGCCTTTCTTTCCCTTTGAAATTTGTACTCATTTTACTAAGGCCCCAGCTCTGACAACATCTAGGTCTCAACTGCCTTCTCTTTCAGCCTCCTTTTCCAGTCTCTATTCCAGTGTGGGTGCAGGGATCATCTGTGCTGCTTCTGTTTTTTGTTTTGTTTTGTTTTTTGTCTTCAAAGCCCTGTTTCATTGTACCCTCTTTTGAGAAGATTTTCCTGAGACCCTAGGCAAGGGTCACCTTTTCAACCCCCAGCCCTGTGTTGCAGCCCCACCCACAGGAGTATGGGTACTCCATATTGGACTGTCTTCCCCACCACACTGGGCAGCTGACAGTCAGGGCACCAACATATTTGCAGAATGCTTCATACCTGATCTGCCTCCACCCATGTGTTTCATGCCTTTTCCCTGTCCCCACAGAAACTGCAGGACAAGGATGAGGGTAGAGCCACCTTCAGTGAGATCAGTAAGTCAGGGTACTGGCTGCTGTCAGAGACGGAACTGCAGTTGTTACTCATCATTACCAAGTGCTTTGAGGCCATGAAGGTGGTTGCCAATGCTGTGGATGCCAAGAATGTGGGTGCCTGAGTAGGCCAATGAGTGGGCACTGTGGGGATCTCCCAAACTAGGCACTGGGCCTTGCCCCTGACTGGCCACCCACAGTTCTTTCCCCCAGGACACCCAGGTTCTCATAGAGCTGCACAAGTCAGGTTATGCCCACCCTGGTGACATGGAATTCGAAGACTTCAGCCAGCCTGTGATCTGTGCACACTCAGAAAATGGCCTGGACACCCGCTCAGATGGAGAGCCTAAGTTCCAGGGCCCTGGCCATAGTCGTGCCAAGCGCTGGCCTTTTGGCAAGAAGAGCAAGGTAGGGGCCCAGAATCTTGTGTGGGAAGACAGTGATTGGGGACAGCTGAGGCCCTAAGGAGTTGAGCCCAGCCACAGGAATGCTGAGTCCTGGGTAAGAATTTTCCTCTTGGCTACATGCCTGGGCTGGACAGAAGGAAGGCAAGTCAGCAGCACATTGGCCTGGGAGTCCCCTGAGGCTGAGGAGGGCAGGGTGTTGTCCTGTGGCATCTGTCTGCTGATGCTTGGGATGCTGGGAGAAGATCTGCTGGTGGAGTTCCTGCTGGACTGACAGCTTGTGTTCCTGTCTTTTAGGAGTGCTCCTAACCCCAGATCTCTATCCAGCTGATGGATCCTTATGCCCTATAGTTTTGGTATTTTTTTGTTGTTGTTGTTTATGTGTTTTCAGCAACAGAAATAAACCCTAACACCACCGGTTTATATCTTGGACAGCCCCTGACTCCCTAGTATGCCTCAGATGTCTCCCACTGACAGCAGCCATCCTGGTGTTCAGCCCTCTCCTCCTAAGCTGTGACCCCTGACCTTTCCTGCCTTCCACAGCCCTCTATGAGTGGCATGCCACTTTGGTCTTTGTCTGAAGCCTTTCTTCATGCAAATGCCTCCTGTACCTCCTTCTAAACTGAGTCCAGAAAGCCCAGTGGACTATAGCATCCCTGTTCCAGCCCCTAGACCTAATAGTCAAGGGATGTAGGAGATGGGATAGGGAGAGGTGTGACCTCTTTCTCTGAGTCTAATGACCTCCCTGTTACCTCTCAGGTTTTGTGTTGCCCTTGCATGTGTTTTCTGTGTGGTTATGCATCTTGAGTTGGGATTTTCTTACTACTTTTTTATTTCTTTTTTGCTTTTGCTTCTCTGCATCCATACTTATGTTCATCCTTCTGTCCATCTTGATTTTCTGCCCTCACCTCCTCCTTGCCTGCCCCCTCCTGGACCCAGCTGGTAGTCACACCCCCTAACCCTCTTCCCCCTGGAGGGTGTCATGTCCTTGACCTTGCCTCGTGGGTTCCCTTCCCAGCTATGTCTATGGTCTTATTGAGTGAGATCGGTAAGTCAGTCAATCTGTGGCTATCATCCTTCCAGATCCTTCCAGGAGGCCATGGGGTAAGTGAGGACTGTGGGAGGAGGGGGCACTGGCCCTCCCATCAGCAAGGTGGTGGACCGTAGGCTTGCTTCCTGCAGCCAGCTGGGCCCCGCTCCTTCTTCACTCTGTCCATGACCTTGCTCCCAAGTTATTTGGAAGGGGAGGAAGGTGGACTTGAATCCTCGGGAGTGTGCAGCGCCTGGAAGCTTCAGCTTCAGAATCTCAGACTCAACCCTCTTTCCCTTGCAGACTGTGGCTTCAGAGGATTTTAGCCACTTGCCCCTGGAGCAGCAGAGACAGCGGCTCCAGCGTCAGTTAGAAGAACACAACCAGGAGCTGCACAAGGAGGAGGATCAGAGGTAGGGCCTGGCAGAGGGGCCGGGCAGGGGACTGAAGAGTGCCACTGGGTCATATAAAGGACTGGTGTGCTCAGCAGTAGAGTGCTTGCCTAGCACAGGCAAAAAGTAACCATAAAATATTTACACTCAAAAGCACCCAAGAATGTCACAGAGACACCAGCAGGGAGGTTTTATGGGTGATTCTTCATGCGCCTGGAGGAACCTGTTGCCTTCACTGCCATGCAAGGATTTCTAGCAAACAGAGTGAAAGCTGCCAGCTTATTTAGAAGGCTGGGGAACCTGGGTTCCCAGATCAGTGAGCAAGAATTCAAGTCAGTGAAATTACAAGCTCATTTTTCCTCACTTCTGGTTTTAGATACAAAATCCTGGCAAGAAAATTTATTGATGTACTACAAAACAGTACATGGCATGGTGGTGTTAGTTGGGTGCAGGTATCTAACGCCACAGAACTGTATGCTACATAGTAATCACAAGAGGAAATTTTGTGTTATGTCTCCTTCACTAGAATAGGAAAAAGGTTATTTTTTTAAAGAAAAAAATACATAATCAATTGGGCATTGTCCCAACAATGCAAACCTGGTTCAATATCAAGAAGCCTTGGGGCTGGGGATGTGGCTCAAGTGGTAGTGCGCTCGCCTGGCATGCGTGCGGCCCGGGTTCGATCCTCAGCACCACATACAAACAAAGATGTTGTGTCCACCAAAAACTAAAAAATAAATATTAAAATTCTCTCTCTCTCTCTCTCTCTCTCTCTCTCTCTCTTTAAAAAAAAGGGAAAAAAAATATCAAGAAGCCTTGCAGTCTAATCCACCACATTAGAGAGCTAAGAGGAAACAAAAGCATATGGCTAACTATTTAATAATTCAAACATTTAAATATTAAAAATAAAAATCTGCCAGATTAAAAAGAAAATCTTTACTCACTTTCTCCCAAGCAGCAAATTCCTCTTCCCAGTCCTGCACATAATAGGAATGATGTTCGCCACTTGCCAGGAGGTGGTCAAGTTCTAGTTTGCTGTCTGCGAGTTACCTCTTGGACAGACGGGGGTGAAGTTGCATCCTCCACTGGGTGGTTTCTGGGTTTCTATGGTGGAGCAGCAGGTACAGGGTATGTGCCTAGAGTCAAGGCAGCCTGCTCATGAATTCCAGCTCCTGGAGGTAATGGGCAGCTTGATATAACATTTCATGTCTCAGTTTCTTCATCTGTGACATGGGTCAGGTAATGACTGAAAGGAAGCTGAGCTGAGGTCTGCCATATCCCACTAGTGCTCTACAGCTCCCACTACCCAGATGGATAGAGGAGATGGGAATGGGAGACTAATGACAGGGACCGCAGCTAGAATCACGGACATCCACTGTACTCCAGCCTCTACTCTACTCACTTCACATGGACTTCCTGGATATCTTAGGTTTTTCTAAGAGATGATAAGCACAGATAGGATTCTGACTCTCTTACTATGTTTCCTTTCTTTCCTGTCCATTTCCAGTGCTGGCAATGAAACCTAGTGCCTTTCACTTGCCAGTGGAGTGCTCTGACATTGAGCTACTTCTTAGCCCCCTAGAGCAATATATATATATATATATATATATATATATATATATATATATATATATGTGTGTGTGTATGTGTTAGGACTTGCTGTGTACAAGTACTGTACCAGTCCTCACAACAGCCCACATGGCAAACACATGCATTTATTCCCATTTTCAAGGTTAAGGTGCAGATAGTGCTCTATAGCCTAAGCTCACACCACCAGGAAATGCCAATCCAAGATGCCAACCCAGGCAGTGAGTCCCACTAGCATTGGAGCTCTTTTTTGTGGGTTTGGCCACATTGCCCAGGCTGGCCTCTAACTCTTGGGCTTAAGCAACCCTAATACTTCAGCCTCCCCTGAGCTGACACCACCATGTCTGGCCCCCGCATTTGAGTTGTAATCAGTGTGTGGCCTTGCTCCTTGCTGTGAGCACCTTCACCCACTACTCCTTTCTTCACCGTCTTGCCCCAGGGAATCTCTGAAGAAAATGAAGTGTGTTATGAGAAGACACCCCAGATGGGTGACCCTGCCAGCTTGGAGCCCCAGATCACAGAAACACTGAGCCACATCAAATGGCTGAAATTGGAAGTACAGAAGTACAAGGTAAGGGGAAGGCCCTGGGGAGGGGTAGAGTCATCACCAGCCTGGCTAAGTTACTTCTGGCTGGGGTACAGGGATCCAGTTGTTTCTCATCAACATCTTGGGTGTGCCTGGGTGATCTCAGGAAGAATCCAGGTGCAGGGTGGGCCACCTCTGAACCCTGGCCTGGAGATGATGTGATCTCATCCTCCAAGGCTTGGCTGGCAGAAGCTGAGAGCCGGGTCCTAAGCAACCTAGGGGACAGCCGGTGCCAGCACACCTGTCCTCACAACCCCCCATCCAGTGTCCCCAGGGACAGTAGCAGAAACGCTTCACAGGTCAACAAGGAGAGGTGAGCCAGGAGGCCAGAGCAGGTATGGCTAGAGAGACAGAGAGGACCTGCCTCCATCTGCCTTCTTGCCCCACACTGCTCTGAAGAGCACACTCAGAAGAGGGCCAGGAAACCCCTATCTACACGCCGTGCCACGAGGATTTTGAGGAGCCCGCATCACCCATAGGCCAGTGTGTGTCCATTTACCACTCTGAAGGTGAGAACACATGGGGGTGGAGGGGTGGGGGCACATCAGTTGCTCTGGTGTCTCTGGCTAGTTTGTTCAAGTTTTTCTAATGCAGAGACCTGGGCCGACCCCACAACAGGGTCCAGCGAGGGCACTATCTCTATGACCCAGGGTGAGGACCTCAGTCTGATGGAAGAGGACAAAGGCGATGGCTGGACATGGGTCCGGCAGAAACAGGGAGGTGAAGGCTCTGTGCCCACCTCCTACCTCCGAGTGCCACTCAACTGAACCTGCCAGAAGCAGGAAGAGGGGGCCTATAAGCTGTTGCTCTTGGGCATCGGGAGCCCAGGACCTATGCACTTCATTTCTGCCCCGTAGCTTTGGCTGTGACCTGTGTAACCTGCTGCCCACCCCCATCCCACCTGTCATCCCAATAGACCCGCTGTGCCTTTCAAAATCAGTGTGCATACTCATGTTCAAGTCTTTTCTTCCTGCCACTTGGCTTGGGCCATTTTGTTACCTATCATTCTTGTTGATCTGCAATAAAGCAACCGTAGCAAGCTTTCAAATATAAAAATTCAGAATATGAACAAGCCCCTGAGCACTTTGGTGTAACTCATTCAAAATGACCAGTTAAATTCTGCTACACTTGTTTGATATTGTTCTGCTCCTTCTACGGAGGAAAAAGGAACCCATATTGACACCTTTGGTTAGCCCAGTCATAACCACTTCTACAAGCCCAGTCATAACTACTTCTACATTCATGCACTGTATATGAATAAAATGTATCTAAGTCACAGAATTTATGGTAATTTATTACATCAGCATTAGGAAGCTTTGAATGGGAAAGGGTCTTGCATTCATGTTTAGGGTGAAATTATGAATTGTTAGTTTAAATCTGAGAATATGGCAAAAACAATAAATTAACTAGTAATGTTTTCTATGAACATGAGTAGAGCTCAGAAATAATTCAGAAATTAAGAATGACTATAGAAAATTTAAATCTATCCTATAGGCTTGGGGTTGTGGCTCAGAGGTAGAGAGCTCACCTAAAACATGCAAGGCCCTGAGTTCTATCCTCAGCACCACATAAAAATAAAAACATAAAATAAAGATATAGTGTCCAACTACAACTAAAAAATAAATACTAAAATAAATCTATCTCATATCTCAATATTCAATTTGCAAGCTTATCTCATATCTTTGTGTGTTTCAAAGACTGTCTTCTATTAAATGTTACTGAATCTAAACCTTCATTGTCAGGGTAACTATATATGTCTAAATACACTTGTTCTGCTTTCCAGTGAAGCATTAGTCAAAATTACTTCTATCGGGTGAAAACAAGAGTGACCCTACAGAGAGTTGGAGAACAGCAAAGGCAATATGTTATAATGTTTGAATATCAGATTGTAGAGTCTATGAGCAATAAGAAGGCACTTAATCCATACACATTATCATGTTACATTATTCAATTTCCCTGAACTGCAAATGGAGCAGCCAACATGGGACAACTTATCAATAACAGGTTCTCCAGTTTAATTTTATATTGAAAATAAAAGAAGGTATTCCTTTAAATATTGCTCATTCTTATTTTAGTTGTAGGAAAAACTTACCTTTTTGACAAGTTTCCATGATAACAAGATGTAAACTGTTTCATTTGCTTTGAAATACAGAAATAAGTAAGCACATCACTGGGATTTCATTGATTTTTTAAAAATTTATTTATATTGAAGTTAGGAAATATGTAATTACTTTTAGTTTATATGTGATTTTTTGATTTACCATCTCTTCTTGATCCACCATATTTTATTCAACATTGAAATCACAATATCAACATTCATATGAACACTAAATGGAAAATAATCAGAAATATTTTAAGTACTATTAGCTTAGAATGCTATGCAAAGTTTTATGTGAATTTTAGCAAGTGCATAATACATTACTGGGAGTCATTGTAATATACTCTACTAACTTTTTAGAAAAAGGAAATAAAAGAGTCAGATGTTCTCTATTAGTTCATGAGAACAATGACTTTTTTCAGGTTGTCTTTCTTATTGCTTTGTTTTTTTCACTGCCTTTCCTCTGGTTTGTTTCAAAAGCCTGGAACAGATTTGATATTCTGGAAAGCACTTTTAATAAAAACTAAAACCGCATTTAATTAATTTTCATGAGCTGTACATTTTTTCATATTTAGTATTTTTCAATCACTGAGATGTAATAATACAGCCAGGCACCATGTTTTCTGCATGCAGAATGGATGTCAGCAACTGGAAACTTCATAATGGAGAGAATAGTGCTGTGCTCTTGGAAAATCCTACACCATCAATAATCTGAAGAATACTGACGGTATTTTTTCTAAGGCTAAATCTTGACCACTCTGAATAGATAGGTATTTTGAGAAACCAGGGCTCTAACTTTTAAAATCTGAGGTATGTTCACCACAGTATGGTTTACTTATGTGGTCATTTCTTTGCATAGATGCATATAATTTATCAATCTATGAAGTATTTCTGAAAGTTCTCCTTCAATAATAATGTAAATAAAAATTCTAAACAGATTCTAAAATTCTATAATAGATCAGAAATTTCATTTTCAAAAAGAAAAAAAGTTTTTTAAAGATTTATTACATAATGATAATAATTAAACTACCTCTAAATTGTAACAGAGAGATGACAACTGTAGCAGAATTAAAACCAAAAAGCAAAAGATGCTACCAGAAGTCACAGGAGTTGAACATTCTTTGTCAATTTGACATTTTGCCACCAGCTCTAACATTATCACTGCATGTAACTAAGCATAGATATATACAAGTCATAGTTGCATAACATATTTACATTAATGAAAATGAACTCATAAATAAGAACATTCTTTTGTGCTTCCTATTTCCTGTTTCTTCATCTTAAGAATTTAAGTCAGTATTCAGATAATTTTATTGATTGTTTAAATTACAGACCAAGAATTTCCCAGCTAAACATTGCTCAAGTAGATCCTTTCTTCAAATGGAAATGAGATATATTAACCCTAAGATTTGTACCAAAGCTGAGAATTTTTTAACAAATTGTACTGACTAGGATAAAATTACTCTGAAACTAAATCAAAGGCAACTATATAATGGGAATTGATAATTTGATAATTGATGCATATTCAAGTAAAATATGATCATATCTGTAAAGAAAAATGGAGAAACATAATAACTGGACAATCAAATTTGTTATGAGACAGAGAAATTATTATATTCTATAGTGACAATGAATATGGTAAACAACAGTTTATTCTGTGTTTCAAAAGATCTAGAAAAGAGGTTTTTGAATGTTTCTAACAAAGAAATGATAAATGTTTGATGTCATTGATATGCTGATTTTATCACTGCACATTGTACAATGTATCAAAATGTGGCAATGTGCCCCAGAAATATGTACAATGATTCTATGTCAACATTTTCAAAAGTTTATTTTGTATGAGGAACTCTTGTAAGCAACATATGTCTATGTATTATTTTATTCTAATTATATTCTATTTTTATTCTAACTATAATAAAGGCATAAAGATTTACACATATTTAATAGTATATATCAGTTAACTGATGATAAGTCAGTTTTTTGTCTATTTACACATTCCCAAATGAATAATGATCTCATTTCTTAAAATGATTACATGAATAGAAGTTTTTCCATGTAACTAACAGTGGGATAATAAGGATAAATAATACTATGTAATTTTCTCTAGTCATTTATAATATTATGAAGAAAAGGCAAGTGCATATAGATTTATTAAATTGTAATTATCAATCTCATGAACCTCAAACTCGACCTTTTAATTACTAAGATTGGCATAGTGTATTGCCTCTAAAGTTTGTGGTCAATGCCTCTGACAGTTTAGTGTAGACTAGTTTGTTAATATATTATAACACACAGACTTTAAGATATATGTTCTTAACTATGATTACATTGGATTAAATTGATTATCAAGTTTAAGGTCATGGGCTTAGGCTCTTGTCCACTTTAACTACATAGATGCAATATGTTTAAGAGAACATTAAGTGGACTACTTTTCATAGTTTCCATGGTTGGTTTTGTTTAATTTGACTGGTTTAAGGATATATGGATAATTTAAAAAACTGTGTATTTCTAAGTGCCTTTGTGCTCAGCAGACTGAGACCCTCCCTGTCTCAAAATAAAAAAAAAAGAAGGGATATGAAAAAACCGGCAGCTAAACATGGTGATACAAATCTGTAACCCAAGTCACTCAAGAGGTTGAGGCAAGTGGATCACACAAGTTCCAGCTCCCAGGGTCAAGTTGGTAAATGCCTGTCTCAAAATAAGGAGGAAAAAGGCTGTGGAGCTGGGTGTTAATCAGTGGTATAGCACTTTTCTGATATGTGGGAGGCCATGGGTACATTTCTCGGTAACAAAAATAATTTTTAAAAAGGGAAAAATTTAGTTAAGCAATGAATTGTGCCATAAAACCAAGTCACCTCTGGGAGTAGAGAAAGGACAAGGAAATCATTTAAATTTGGGAAGATGCATTTTTCTAGTCTCTATTCAAAGGCTTAGATAGGTGATCTCTAGGATTCAGTATTTATTCTCTGAGTATAGAGCATGCAGAGTAAGAAAACAGTCAACACCTGGTGCTGCATGCACAATGCATTCTGCTCTCTTTCTTTGGCTATAATGTCTTCAACAGTTTCAGAAAGACTAGTGATGTCAAACCAAGACTCAACCCTGGAAGAAAAAACTGTATCATAAGTTAATTTATCAAATCAATTCAATTATTACTAATACATGCTTTTCAATTTTACAATAATTTGCATATTATGGATATTTTGCAAAAAAATCCCCTTAGATGCAATTTGTAAATATATAGAAGACATTTGAATGACAAAGAGGAAGTGATTGTATTGTTTGAACCAACAATCAAGAACTGAGATTTGGCAGAAGGCCCAGAGTTCAATCCTGGTACTGAAGAAAATAAAAAAATGGCTGAGGTCATAGCTCAGGGGTAGAACACCTGCCTGGCATGTGAAACTTGGGTTTGATTCCCAGCACTGCAAAAAAAAATTAGTTTTATTAAGAGCTATGATCTGAAAGGGAACATTTTTCTAATTTCAAATATGTTAACATAATCTTATAATAGCTTAAATATCAAAAAAAAGAGCCAGGCATGGTAGTCCACTCCTGTAACTGAGCTACTCTGGATTCTAAGGTTGGAATATCACAAATTTGAGGCCAGCTCAGCAACTTACTGACATTTTTCGTCAAAATAAATAAGAAAAAGAGCTGGCTATGTTG